TCTAGGAGCCACCAGTCACCTTGGAAGAACCAAAAGCAGGTGTTGCACGAAGGTGCCCTTGCATCCCCGGTCGGGGCATTGATTCCTTTGTTTAATGCCCAGTCCTGGTAGTGCTTGTTTCTTTTCTGGGAAACCAATGGTCCAGCATGGTCCGGCTCGTTCTTTTTGTATTGTAGCGATAGATGGAGAGGACGAGTCAGAAATCAGATTTAGATTTTGCCAGAGCATCTGCAGCTAGCTGCACTCGATTGGTGTCTTTATCAGAAAGAGTTGGTGAAGCCGAAGCATGTGTTCTTTCAATCGCCGATGTGCTGAAACAAAGTCAACAGAAACACGTTGGATTCCAAAGCATCCCAATTCCAAGTACGTGGGAAATCTCCGGAATCGCCGATAGAATCGATCCATCTTGCCTATGCTGTCGGTGATGGAACATGGGTCAGACACGACGTGACTCGACGCGTGACGACTGACGCGTGACGACTGACGCGTGACGACTGACGCGTGACGAGAGCCGACGTAGGAATGCCATCCCTTGGGGATTGACAGAGAGATGCGGAACGTAGAGACATGAATTAATGCAAATCCATGAAAAGCCTGGGTGACTGTGGGTTACAAGTCTCGTTCGGTTGTTTCACTGAAGACCAATCCTCAAACAGTGCAAACCCGGGCGAGGCGCTACAAGCACTACAGTGATGCAGACCTTGTGGGAAGCTTGGAGATGTTGGAATCTGAAGCGCTTCTGGCATAGAAGTGTTGGTACAGCATCGGGAAACGGCTGAAAAGGTCCTCCCTCGATGTCTGAGAGAATTAGATAGAATTAGATTTGCAGTAGTTGTCAAAGACATACATAGAAATAGATGAAATAGTAGGGTCAATGCATGTGTGTGTATACTTTCTTTGATGCTTCCAACATCTTCCAAGGGGTATGAGCATGTCTTCCAAGCGGTCTTCACATTCCTTTCATTCATCCGTGCTCGGTTGGAGAGGTTCTTCAACGAAAGCTTTGTGGCCCTGCTGTTGTTCCAACTCAAGCCAAACTGGGATTACTAACAAGCCAACATAGCAAAAACCTCAGCACCAGAACACTGCTGGTGAAATTCTGGGAACCGTCCATGGATTCGGGATCGCCTCAAAGACGCCCCACCCCGCTCGTTGCTGCAACACGAGGCTTCGTTGCTTCGAGAGAAGGACGATGCGGCGTCCGGAAGGGACGTGGAGCCGGAGCATCGGTGCGTTTGGGGAGGTGACTCGAGCCAAGTCTGTGAAGGGTCCATGTGTTTGTCGTGTGCGTGTGTGTTTTCTCACTGGTTTTTTGGGCCCTCGATTCATTGGATCAGTTTTAGAGTGACTGCTGAACATTGATCCTCAAAAAACACTGTATTGGCGTTGAGCTGTTGAAAATCCGAGAATCTAAAGGTATATTTAAATCAAGGGATCATCATATTCTATTCAATATTCCATTTTCCTTACACATGAAAATGAAACATCCCAAATTTCATTGAAATATTACTATGGAAAATGTTTCCGGAACAAACACAACGATTGAAGAAATCTCAAAGTATCTTCACAAACCGTCAAACCATGAATAATATATAATCAATAATCACCATCAATGGGCTTTGCAACAGGACGACTGACAAAAAAAATAAGCAAAATAAATATGTACATAATTTAATTATCTAAATATTGATAATAATAATTATATATTCATATATATATATATATTGTAATTTAGCTATATAAATAATAGTAATAGCATATTGATTTTATATATGGATATTTTAAATAAGCAATATATATAATATACAATAAGTTATATATATAGTATGTTAGGTAAATATATATATATATTATTAATGTATATTTCTTTGAAATTATATTATTAATGTATATTTCTTTGAAATTATATGTATTTGTATAATATAGATATATATAATATGGATTTATATAGTAGGATTCTTTTCGAGAATTATCCGATAAAATTGGAACGATACAGAGAAAATTAGCATGGCCCTTACGTAAGGATAATACGTACAAATCGAGAAATATACTAAGTGTTTAAGCGCCATTTGCAGATTAAGAAAGGGGCGTCGGGCATTCTTTTTTACTTTGGTGTTATGTTTTGATTTTTGTTGTTTCCGGAATGTATTTGATCGTATCGTTGCGTTTCCACCTTTTGAGTCTGCAGAGCTTGGTCTTAAGTCTAGGCGACATGGAAATATACTGTTGGTTTGATGTTCTTTCCATGTCGGGCGTGAGGGTTATTCCACCTGCCTTAGGTGTGGGTGAGAGCCACATCACGGCTTCCCTTCCTCGTGCACACATGGCGAAGTATCGTCTGGCTTAGGCCACGTCCCGTCCCGGCATAGGTGCAATCGCCTTATGAGGTCGTTCACTAGGGCCTGCTTCAGATTATTGGACACCGGAATGGCCACCTATAAGCATTAGGTATTGCTTCCAGTACAGGCTTTTTTGTTGGAGGCCATTGCTAGTTGGAGGCCATTGCTATTAGGTGGCCATCGCTCGCTTTTTTGTTGGAGGCCATTGCTAGTTGGAGGTCATTGCCATTAGGTGTTGGAGGCCATTGCTAGGTTGGAGGCCATGTGCTATTAGG